GATTTGTGCGTTGAACCAAGTGAATTTCCATAACATAATAATGTGATAATCACTAGATGGGGACCTGATGGAGAATTGCAGGTCCCCCTCTGCTGATTGACAGCAGGGGTGGGCGGGTGCAATAGCTAGTTTGCTATTGCAAAGTGAAATAGCCTATAGGAATCTAGCTATGCATTCCAAGCAGAGCACTTTCCGGGAGAAAGTGTCTCTCTCCCGGGCGGCCGGGAGCCGCTATCTAATAGCGGGAGACTCCCGGGCGACCCCTGGCAAATTGTCATTCGACCCCCGAAGGGGTCCCGACCCACAGGTTGAGAACCGCTGATCTAGGGGTAGATCAAAGACCTTCAGTGAGATCTGAATCGGAGACGCTGTCAGGATCGGTCTCTGAGGTTATTATTGGCTGTTCCTAAATTTGGAGCGGCCTAATAATAGCCAAAAATTAAAAAAAGTTAGTTTATCGACCCGTCATAGTGACTGCTCGATATAAACTGACAAAAGAAAAAGTTTTTTGTTTTTTTTTACAAAGTGTAAAAAAAATAAAATAAAGTGTAAAACAAAATTAGGAAAATAAAAATTATATATAAATAAAATAATCAAAACTTGTGAAAAAAGTGTTTTCTTCTAGTTTTTTCCTCAATTTTGTTTTTATATTTTATTCAAACTAAGTGAGGCGTTAGGTCCACATGTTTGATATAATGATATCGCCCTATCCGTCCTCTAACATACAACATATAACATGTGCGGGGACATTTAGTAAGAAAGTATATGACTGACGTGGAAGAATCCCACAGCAACAATGTAACAAGCGTGTCCTTCATTTATGAACAGAAACTGAAAACTCGCTCAGTCATGAAGGGGTTAAAGAGACATTAAACTCCGGGGTTAAATCTTAAAAATCCCTCCGAGACCACGAACTCTGAGTAACAATGTATCTTATTTGTATCACTCGGCTGTAGATCCTCCAATCATCTCTGACACTGTCCTTTCTTCTGGAGGGGGGCTACGTCCAGGGGCGTATCTGACGCGAGGCAAACAAGGCGTTTGCCATGGAAGTCTTCCTCCTGACGGTGGCGCTCTGTGCTAGATACCGGAGATACCGGCTGCTGCTCTGTGTCGTGGTGCTGGCGCTGGGGGGGAGAGCGCACTATACAGAGGTGGGTGATGCCATCTGCGGGAATCGGGGGGTCAGTCCGGGGGGGTGGCACGCAGTCGTGGGGGGGCGACAGTATACGAAGCCCTGACCTCATAGTTCTCCTTTAACAACACAAATGCCTGTGTATGGACCCGATCCCACCCCCACAGTGTATATCTGGGATTAAAGGAGAACTATGGGGTCAGTGTTTTTCCCTCATAGTTCTCCTCAGGGTAACGGGAGGACACAAACTAGCGTCCTTCCGTCACCCTAGGCTCAGTATATAGGGAGCTACAGCTCGCGGAATACTGAGACGCCGCAGCCAGAGCGGATCCCGACAATTGTGCCAAGATCCGCCCAGCTGCGTGAGTGACAGCTGGCTCCGCCTATCTAGAGGCAGAGCCAGCTGTACCCGCCCCCTCCCCCGTCCGTTACGCCAGTCAGCACTGGTGGATCGGAGCGGGGAGGGGGGAATCCAGTCCCTCCCCTGTCACGGCAGAGAGCCATGACAGGATCGAGAGGTGAGCGAACGCCGGTATGTGTTCTCTCACTTCCCGATCTACTGAGCCGACCTGTGACAGTCTCATTGTCACAGGTCGGCTAGAACTATGAGGTGAGTGAAAAGCCCCTCCCCCTCATAGTTCTCCTTTAAGCTTCCATATCTGGTCCTTCAATAGCCGGTTGTATCTCTCATTTAAACCAGCAGCCTGTGGATGGTGTGGGACGTGGCAAAGCCAGTACACTCCAGAACTTTTTGGCCCACTGTTGTACTGTTGATCCGGGGAAGTGCGATCCATTATCACTTTGGACTTTTCTTGGGTGGCCCTAGGAAATGATCTTCTGGAGTAATTGGAGTGTTGCAGCTTGCAAGGATGGACAGTCAAAAGTCCTGAATGGGTGTCTACTGCAGTAACTCAGTCCGTTGTCTCCCCGGGGCGAGTCAATCTGACACATTTCTGCAGGCCTCTCGCCCCTCTTGATGCTCCAGGTGGGATACTTTTGTAGTGGACATTGTCACACTTCTTCACACACTGTACAGTCTCTATCATGTCCATGGTTATGGATAGTCCCCTCTGCTGCGCCCATGCATATGTTGCTTTCTGACCCAAATGTCCTGAATGCTTGTGGGCCCATTTGGCCAAGTTCATCAATACCGGGCCAACTGGCACAACTGCAGCCACCTTGTCAATCTCCTCTGCCATTCTGTTGTAGTCCTTGAAGTCTGGAACTAAGGGCATATGTGCATCAACATTCCCCACGTTTATTGTACATGAGTGGGCTTCTTTCCAGATGTAGTCCCAGAATTCCTTCCCTCCACACACCGCCTTTCCATGAATCATCCAGTCATTGTACCATTGGGCCTCCAAGTTGTCATTCCCATAAACACCGCCCAGCTGTTAGTGTAGATAGTGGCATGAGAAGAACCATCCCCCTGTAGCGTCATTACTATAGCTTTCAATGCTGCATACTGGCTTGTAGGTAGGTGCAGTATGGCCAACGGCCACTAGATGCCCCCATGGGGCCCTGGAGATAGATGCAGCTCTGGCATGGGGAAACTCTGTGTCCCAGGAGAAGTTGATTTATAGGGGGCGCCCGAGAGGGGAAGTTGTTGTTCAGAGGAGTACAGAAGAAGTCTAAGACTGTCTGCAGAGTCTCTGGTGAGAGACTGTTTCTTGAACATAGGCTGGTCCATGGGAAGGACAGGACCAGGCCTAGGACTATGTAGAGCTACAAAGATTCCCTAGTTTCCCCACAGGGGGAAACCCACCGTGCTAGAACTGACAATGGATGGGATTCCGGAGAATAGTGAAGTGCTAGAAGACTGACGATATTTGCCAGTGGGCCTATGGCTGAAGTAAGTCGTGACTCTGGGCTGCACCTGGGCTGATGTACCTCTCTCTCTAAATTGTATCACCATGCAAGTAACAAGTGATGTGCCGTCACCCCACCCGGGGGTGGCTGAAATGTATGCTTCATACCATGTTCATTCTTTCAAGTAAAACCGACGAAAAGACTATCTGTGTGGACTGGTTCTTCTCCCTCCAACCTCTGAGAAGGTTCTACCGGAGTGTGATGTTGGACTGTATCGTGGATGTAACCATCTGAGGAGGGTAGGTGCGCAATGGGGCTATGCCTGACACAGGGTGCCGTTCATGGTGGCCTTTCTCCCTAAGGGGGAGGAAGCGCCGAAGACCGCAGAGGCGGTTGAAGCCATGAGGCCCTGTGTACGCAGTACTACACGTGAGGGAGTGTTTGCACGAGGCCAAGGCCGTGGCCCCTGACCGTGGGGTGTCTGGTTTCAAGTTGCATGCACGGGGTTACCCAGCCAACCCAAAGGGAACACACACGCAACACCCCAAGAGTGAACCCCGCCTACATTTTGGCGTAGTCGGCAGGATCAAGAAACTCATTGGTTGAAAAGGGCGCGGAGGACCAGAGCCCGCCCAGAAGACGGAGCTTAATTAGAGAGAGAGCGCGAGGGTGAGCCAGAGCACGTGAGACAAAGATGGCGTCGGCTGTGAAGGACCACGCGGAGGGAGCTGAGGCGGTGTTCGACACTGGGCTCCGATTCTACCCTGTCGGAGGGTTAGCTTATTGCCTTCAGAGAGAAGAAGGAGCGTTATGGGCAGTGTGCCCTGCATGTTGCAAACTGGCTCGAGATCTGTCCCCATGGAGTCGGTGTTCAGGGTGTCGCACCCTGCTGTTCAAAGCCAGTGCGGAGCGGTGGGAACCGCAGGAATTTGTATTGGAACGCCAGGATGGGCGTACTAATCTCGCAGGAGGAGATGAGAAAGCGGTTGTACCCGGCCCTTCCGTGCCGAAATGTGGAGGGTCGTGGGAGGCCTCCCCTAAGCCAAACCGGGTAGAGTTGCCCCACAGGGTCCCGCCAGCACGACTGGGATATTCCGTGAGTCGTTTATCTACGGGGTCCACCCCACACAGTTCTTCTGCAGCATCCAGCGGTAATCCATGGCCACCGGAACTGAGAGTGGGCCGAGCTGGGGAGCTGTCGCCAAGTTTGCAGTCGTTGGCGTTGTCGCCTGATCCACCCCGGGAGGAGCGGTGGATGTTCGAGGCTGGCTCGGGACCAGACCTGCCCGCGGTCCTGTCGGAGGGGACTACCGGAGGAATCCCGAGTGCTAAAGAGGCTCTGCCAGCCGGGATGAGTTCCGCCAAATCGGGAGGAGAGGTCGAGCAGCCGAGTGAGCCGGGCACGCTTGGGGCGCCACCCGACAGGTTAGTGGCCCATGAATGGGGTCTAGCCCGGGCAAAGAGGTCCGTGAATGCTTATTTGCCCCGAGGAAAGGGGTTGGAGAAAGAACTTCCTCGTTTGTCCCGCTTACAGCGGTACTTCAACAAGTTCGTGGCCCTAGAGTATGGGTGGGACTTTCCTTACCTTACGGAGGAACTGTTTGATCACTTAGAGGAACAGAGACAGCATATCTATCAGCAGGCCGTCTGGGAACATATCGGGGTCCCCAAGCCACAACGTCGCCTGACCGAGGACAATCCATACCAAGTCCGTTTCGGAGTGGTGTTTGAGGAATTCCACTATGGGCGTCATGTGTACAAGGACAGAGTCATTTTGTCCAAACCTGGGGCTTCGGAGGTGGTTAAGTCCGTCACGGACAGGGAACCCAGTACAGGGCGGGTGAAGCGATACCCCGACCCGTACTACTACGAACTTTAGGAGGCCGGATGGTTCTGCCCTTGGGGAAGGGTGAAGATTGTTATGCTGCTGTGATGTTCCAGTACAGATGTTGAGATTTATATTGCACTAAGTGTTCAAATGTTGTATTGCATACTGAGTAAGATGTTACAGTTTATCCATACAGCGTGTCTCACGTGTATGATTAAGGAAGGTCTCTGACTAACCGTGCAAGTCGTTTTATGCTGCTGATTGTGAGAAATGCAATGTTTTATAAATACAGAGAGTATCTTATTCCTGTAGGAGGAATGTGGAGTGGGGGTTTTACCGTATTGTGCATTGTATAGTGTGACTAATGTGTTTTCTATAAAAAGTTATTGCCCTATTGGTGACGGTGCAGCCCAGCCTTGGGAGGGGCTAGGAAGTGTGTTAGAAGCCCAGTTAGGAGTCAGGGGTTAGAACCTTGTAGATGCAGAGTAGAACATGTTGAGATACCTTGGTAGAAGGTATGGTCCTTGTCAGTGGTTCATGTAGCTAGTACAGGAGTGTACTATGTTTAACTGTGGGGGAATATAGGTAGGTGCAGTATGGCCAACGGCCACTAGATGCCCCCACGGGGCTCTGGAGATAGATGCAGCTCTGGCCTGGGGAGACTCTGTGTCCCAGGAGAGCTGATTTATAGGGGGCGCCCGAGAGGGGAAGTGAAGTCAGTTGTGGAGTTCAGTACAGGAGAGCAGAAGTCTAAGACTGTCTGCAGAGTCTCTGGAGGGAGACTGATTCTAAAACATAGGCTGGTCCATGGGAAGGACAGGACCAGGCCTAGGACTATGTAGAGCTACAAAGATTCCCTAGTTTCCCCATAGGGGGAAACCCACCGTGCTAGGACTGACAATGGATGGGATTCTGGAGAATAGTGAAGTGCTAGAAGACTGACGATATTTGCCAGTGGGCCTATGGCTGAAGTAAGTCGTGACTCCGGGCTGCACCTGGGCTGATGTACCTCTCTCTCTAAATTGTATCACCATGCAAGTAACAAGTGATGTGCCGTCACCCCACCCGGGGGTGGCTGAAATGTATGCTTCATACCATGTTCATTCTTTCAAGTAAAACCGACGAAAAGACTATCTGTGTGGACTGGTTCTTCTCCCTCCAACCTCTGAGAAGGTTCTACAGGAGTGTGATGTTGGACGGTATCGTGGCTGTAACCATCTGAGGAGGGTAGGTGCGCAATGGGGCTATGCCTGACACAGGGTGCCGCTCATGGTGGCCTTTCTCCCTAAGGGGGAGGAAGCGCCGAAGACCGCAGAGGCGGTTGAAGCCATGAGGCCCTGTGTACGCAGTACTACACGTGTGGGAGTGTTTGCACGAGGCCAAGGCCGTGGCCCCTGAGCGTGGGGTGTCTGGTTTCGAGTTGCAGGCACGGGGTTACCCAGCCAACCCAAAGGGAACACACATGCAACACCCCGAGAATGAACCCTGCCTACAGGCTGGATCCCCCAATTCCGTCCCCGTGTAGGACTATGTCAGTACTCAGGTTGTAGGATGCCACCGTCCACTGATGCCCAGACAAAGCGACTGCGGCTGAACCATCAGTGAACCATACTCACTCTTTCTCATCTTCTGACAGACACTCAAAAGGTGGAGCCTCATGAATGGGGGATGGCTGCAGTGCGGGGATTTCTTCTTCTGCCTGGGTGCTGGTGAATGTGCCAAGCTATGCCAGTTGCTTTGAAAAGTCTCTGACATCCCATACAGCAATACCCCCCCCTTCTGAAAGTACCACTTACATTTCATCAGGGTGTGGTTCTGGGCTTCAGTTACCCCAGCGGTCAGTCCGTTATCTCTCACCCATTCTGCTATTGGCAGTGCAGTATCGATGGTGACCGGTTTACCCCTTCAATCTCCTTGTGCATCACTATGTACTAACGGACTTATCAGTATTGATGTCACCGCTTCCTAAAACTCATTCTCCTCTGACTACAATACGACGCACAAGGCCGTCCACAACTCAACCAACCTGGTCCCAAAATATCACCCAAACCGTCCTCTTTGGTCCTCTCAGAACCTCCTGCTCTCTAGCTCCCTCATCACCTCCTCTCATGCTCACCTCCAGGACTTCTCTAGAGTGTCCCCCATCCTCCACCCTAAGCCCCTACCCCAACCTGTCTGACTATCCCCCTTCTCTCTTCCTGTTTAGGTGAATCCTGAAATCTCATCTCTACAAAGAACCCTCTCCCACTTCCACCTAACAACTCAACTTGTACCTTCTCCATCAACTCATCCTTCACAATTATTACCTTTTGTATCACTCGCCCCTTCCTTTTAGATTGTAAGCTCTCAGGATCAGTGCAATGCTAACCCTGTTGTCTGGGATTGTATCTCTGCTCTCTCACATTATATTGTAAAGCTCAGCACAAAACCAAACTGTGATATAAATGCTGCATAATATCAACTAGGGATGCACCGATACCGATACTAGTATGGATATCCGTGCCGATACCGAGTATTTGGGTGAGTACTAGTCCAAATGCTCCGATGCCAAGCCCGATACTTGCTGTATCAGGAAGCCGAGCAGCGCGCCATTACACGCTGCCCGGTTTCCTGATTCGCCGGGAAGCGGCTCCATGCTCTCTCATCACTTGTGATGAGAGAGCATGGAGCTGACTTCCCGGGCCAATCAGGAAGACTCACCCAAATACTCGCTATCGGCACCGATATCCATACTAGTATCGGTGCATCCCTAGTTGATATTATACAGCATTTATATAACAGTTTGGTCGGGAAGCAGGCCAATCAGGAAGCCGGGCGCCGTGTAATGACGCAGCGCCCGGCATTCTGATTGGCCGGGAAACTGGCTTAATGCTCCCTCGTCATCTCATGACGAGGGAGCACGGAGCCGGCCTCCCGGCCGATCAGAAAGCAGGGCGTCACGTCATTACACGGCACCCGGCTTTCTGATTGGCCGGCCAGACGGCTCCGGTTGGGTACCGGAGGAAGGCCGCGTTCTGGCTGGAGAGGCCCCGGTGGTGACAGGCTGGACATGCCGAGGTAAGAGGAGACGGACTTTCTTGTTGATCGGGAAGCCGGGTGGCGGGTCATTACACGAATGGGACTTCCGGTACTCTGTAATTGGTATCGGCAAGTAACGAAAAAACAATGATCTGTACTCGGTACCAAAATACCGGCATCGGTGCGCCCCTTATATCAATAATACAGAATATAGCGGCAAGCAGCAATAAAGGTGGCCGAGCATTACAGCCGGTTATAGGACATGAGGAGATATTGTAGTTACAGAGGTAAGTAGCAGGACATGATGCCAAATTCACAATGGCCGCCGACCTTGGAGACATTTGGAAGCCGTATTGTATTTGGCATTTATGGTTCTGAGTTCTCATATTCAGTGGTGATAGAAATGCACGTTTATGCCATTTGCTGCAATGTTAGAAGTGATTGGCTTGTGCCGGCCACAATGATTTTGGCATTGACTTGCTTTGATACTCCATGGTAGAGGAGGCCGGCCAGGGGGAGTATACAGACTGTTGCTGAGCAACTCACCTCACCCACCAATCGTGTCTTGTTCTGGGGAGGTTGCTTTGGAGGGAATAAGAAGATGTGTACTGGGGCATGGGTACCTTATCTAGGGGCCCAAGGGTCCAGACCCCCCACTGTCATGAGCACAGCAGGGTTCCTATGATCGGCAGACAGAGGGAGGGGGGCAGGAGGGAGAGCACTGTGGGGCCCCTGTGATCGGCAGACAGAGGGAGGGGGGCAGGAGGGAGAGCACTGCGGGGTGGGCTGTGATCTGCAGACAGAGGGAGGGGGCAGGAGGGAGAGCACTGTGGGGCCCCTGTGATCTGCAGACAGAGGGAGGGGGCAGGAGGGAGAGCACTGTGGGGCCCCTGTGATCTGCAGACAGAGGGAGGGGGCAGGAGGGAGAGCACTGTGGGGCCCCTGTGATCTGCAGACAGAGGGAGGGGGCAGGAGGGAGAGCACTGTGGGGCCCATGTGATCTGCAGACAGAGGGAGGGGGGCAGGAGGGAGAGCACTGTGGGGCCCCTGTGATCTGCAGACAGAGGGAGGGGGGCAGGAGGGAGAGCGCTGCGGGTCTGCTCAGTGTACAGCCCAGAAGATCTGCAGATGACCCCTTTGATCTGCTGGCTCTGTGTCAGAGATCAAAGCCCAGGCTAAAAAAAAGGAACCCACAATGAGCTGGAGAGGATTGGGGAGCAGAGAGAGGGGTTCAGGGCTACAAGGAGCCCCCTTCTCTGCCCCCAGATATGGAGATTATGGTCAGGAGTCCTCCCATGCATTATCTGTGTCCTCTGTATAAGGATTCCTATGGATACGAGTCTCAGCCTCGCCCTGTGTAGGAGTGCACAGAACCCGTCACGCTGGGTAAGGAGTGTCAGAGACTTTCACTTCCCTCTTCTGCTGTCAGCGATGGCGTCTGCTAATCTGAGAGCCGAGCTGGAATGTTCCGTCTGTCTGAACATTTATACAGATCCTGTAACCCTGAAATGTGGACACAACTTCTGCCGGGATTGTATTGGTCGTGTGCTGGATACACAGGGGGGGTCTGGAGGATATTCCTGTCCTGAATGCAGAGAGAAGTCCCAGGAGCGGCCTGCACTGCAGAGGAACATAAAACTACGTAACATAGTGGAGAACTTCCTGTCTGCTCAGCCAGAGGAGGAGTCCGGGGTCCTCTGTACTCACTGTTATCACGCTCCTGTACCTGCTGTGAAGTCCTGTCTGCATTGTGAAGCTTCTCTGTGTGACAACCACCTGAGAGTCCACAGCAAGTCCCCAGAACACGTCTTATGTGACCCCACCACTTCCCTGGAGAACAGGAAATGCTCCGTCCATAAGAAGATCCTGGAGTATTACTGCACTGAGGACTCGGCCTGTATCTGTGTGTCCTGCTGTCTGATTGGAGGTCACATTGGCCATAAGATGGAGTCACTGGATGAGGCCTCTGGGAAGAAGAAGGAGACACTAAGGAATGTTCTCCAGAAACTGATGACACAGAGAGAGGAGACGGAGAGAAGAGTCCAGAGTCTGGAGGAACACAGGAGGAAAGTACAAGGAGAAGCAGCCGGTGACACAGAGAGAGTCTCTGCCCTGTTCAGAGACCTCAGGAGACGTCTGGAGGACCTGGAGAAGAGAGTCCTGAGGGAGATCTCCGGGAGGGAAGAGCGGGTCTCCATCTCTGTGGTGGAGATGACCCGGGAGCTGGAAATAAAGAAGGAGGAGCTGTCCAGGAAGATGCGTGACATTGAGGAGCTGTGTAACCTGACGGATCCACTGACTCTCCTACAGGAATCAGACACAGGTGACTTGTGTGATACTGAGGATGGAGATGATGAGGACGGAGAGAGACATGATAGACTCCTCCATGATGGGGGGGGTCTGGATGTGGCTGGGATCTCACACACATTACACACGCGGTTATCGGATATCATGTCTGGGGTAAATGTATTCTTCTATATACAGGAAGACATATTACTGGATGTGAACACAGCTGCTAATGATCTACAGATATCACATGACAGGAAATCTGCAACCGCGTCACATAAGAGGCAGAATCTTCCAGAAACTCCGGAGAGATTTCAGTATTCTCCTCAGGTGTTGAGCAGTCGGAGTTTCTCCTCAGGGCGACATTACTGGGAAGTGGATGTCGGGGGGTCAGAGTGGTGGAGAGTCGGGATGTGTTACCCCAGTATAGAGAGGAGAGGAGATCAGTCACTGATTGGATGTAATAAGAAGTCCTGGGGTATGGAGAGGTGGGGGAGGGGTACTCAGTACTCAGTGAGACATGACAGGAAGGAGATCCCATTACCCGGCAATGTCCCCAGTAACAGAGTCGGGATAGATCTGGATTATGAGGCCGGGCGGATCTCCTTTTATGATCTGTGTGACCCGATCCGACTCCTCCACACCTTCACCACCACCTTCACTGAGCCCCTCCATGCCGGGGTATGTGTAGGGAAAGGTTGTATAAAGATATCTGGGGGGAATCAGAGGTGAGAGATCTGCCCGGAGACTGGTGACATCACAGGGCTGAGAATCTGATTGGTGGAATACTCAGCCAATAGGAGGAAGCAGTGGACAGGAAATTACATGACTGATGTATAAATCTGCAGACTCCGGGGGTTGTCATCATCATCCTCAACTTCACTTCACCACCTCGTGTGTCACTGACCAGGAACAAGCATGCCGGAGATCAGACGATTCAGACTTCACTGGCTGCATGCTTGTTCCACATCAGTGACACACTAGGTAGTGTAGTCAGGATCGGGATGACAGTCCTGGAGCCTGCACCTTTAAGGTGTATCTATATTTTTCAGCATTGTATGGAGCGGGGGATTAGAACCTCTGTCAGGTTTTTACTGCTACCCGGGACACCAATATAGAGATTCCCCTCACTTCCTGTCCAGGTGACAACATTTTTCAAGACAGGAAATGAAGGAAAATCTACACCAGGGACACAGAGAGAAATAAGAAGTCTTTCCTGTGGTGGGGGAGGGGAAGGCCGGAACCTCTGTCAGGTTTTTATAGAGAAATATCCGGAACTCCAGATCTGCCCGGAGACTGGTGACATCACAGGGCTGAGAATCTGATTGGTGGAATACTCAGCCAATAGGAGGAAGCAGTGGACAGGAAATTACATGACTGATGTATAAATCTGCAGACTCCGGGGGTTGTCATCATCATCCTCAACTTCACTTCACCACCTCGTGTGTCACTGACCAGGAACAAGCATGCCGGAGATCAGACGATTCAGACTTCACTGGCTGCATGCTTGTTCCACATCAGTGACACACTAGGTAGTGTAGTCAGGATCGGGATGACAGTCCTGGAGCCTGCACCTTTAAGGTGTATCTATATTTTTCAGCATTGTATGGAGCGGGGGATTAGAACCTCTGTCAGGTTTTTACTGCTACCCGGGACACCAATATAGAGATTCCCCTCACTTCCTGTCCAGGTGACAACATTTTTCAAGACAGGAAATGAAGGAAAATCTACACCAGGGACACAGAGAGAAATAAGAAGTCTTTCCTGTGGTGGGGGAGGGGAAGGCCGGAACCTCTGTCAGGTTTTTATAGAGAAATATCCGGAACTCCTCCCCCTATAGTGACCCCCAACCTGAGCCATACACAGCCAAAAACCTGACCGGGGTTCTATCCCTCCCCCATACCTTCCAGTCCCTACACCGTACCCTTCCCCCCTACCTTCCAGTCCCTACACCGTACCCTTCCCCCCTACCTTCCAGTCCCTACACCGTACCCTTCCCCCCTACCTTCCAGTCCCTACACCGTACCCTTCCCCCCTACCTTCCAGTCCCTACACCGTACCCTTCCCCCCTACCTTCCAGTCCCTACACCGTACCCTTCCCCCCTACCTTCCAGTCCCTACACCGTACCCTTCCCCCATCCAGTCCTTACACCGTACCCTTCCCCCCTACCTTCCAGTCCTTACACCGTACCCTTCCCCCCTACCTTCTAGTCCTTACCCTGTACCCTTCCCCCTACCTTCCAGTCCTTACACCGTACCCTTCCCCCCTA